CTCTCTCTCTCTCTCTCTATATATATATATATATATATATATATATATAATCAACATGCTATTAGAAAGCATCTTATTTAATTCATTTGATAAAACTATTTAATTTTCTTGAGCCATTTTATTGACATTTTTGGTTTAATACGACAATATTAAACAATAATATCAATATTATTAATTTTTTTTTTAACTAAAATACTTTCAAACTGATTTCGTTTTCTTGAAATACAATGACAATGTGTATAAATAGATAATGACATACAAGTTGAAAAAATAAATCGTTCTTTTGAGACCTTATTTTTCTAGTAAGTAAAAGCATAAGTTTATTTATTATTGTTTTGAGAGATCATGTGCGATCACTTGTGTCGTATATATGTTAAAATACTCTCATCAAAGGGCTTTTAGCCCATGGGTATTATCCTTTCTATTTGAAGTCAATGATTTAAGTCATATGTGGGACATATGTGAAATTAGAAGTAATATAAGAATAAGTTAAATTTGTGGTTCCAAAATAAAAAGATAAAATACTCTCACTTTTGTTCGATGAACAAGAAAACACTTAAATCTTTAACCACGGGTTTAAATTTGAAGTACTTAAAAGCATCTATAATTTTGGAAAGCTTATTGGGTTAAACAAACTTTCTTCTTTCGTTATCATTTGCCATATGACAAAATCTGTTTCAATTTCCAACTTATATCCGGTTGGATCATTTAGAGAATACCCATGTTTCCAAGCTCGCCATTTGATTATAGAACTCTTTTTTTTTTTAACAAGTGAAAGATTTATATTAAATAGTGAGACGCTAGAAAAAGAAAAGGAACAGTTAGATCCGGATGGTATTCGTTGGATTTTGGATCAAATCAATCTATCTAATAGCAAGCTAACAGTTTCTATACACAAATCACTCAAACGAATAATCAACGATACATTCAACTTTCATATTGTAGAACTCTCCTGCTTTGTAAAAGATATTAAATCATCCATGATTTCTTGTTTCTTCACAATATCCATTGCTAGATAGAGTTTGAAATGAAAGTGGATGTTGTTGGTGTAAAACTTCATGTTCTCAACCTTCTTTAAAAATATGATTCGGATAGGGCCTAATCATTATCACAAAGACACCAAAGATGTTGAAGAAGATGACCCAAGGGGAGGGATGGTGGTGGGTAGATGGTGGTTGATAGTGGGTCCTTAATATTTATAAATGATTACTAAAATTAAGAAAATGATGTAATAACAAAATAAGTGTAGAGTTATCATTTTACACACATCTAATAGAGTAAGACAGAAGGATAATTGGTGCAAGATTTAGAAACCACAATGATGTTTTAGACCAACTCCAACCATCAAACACTAAAATTGGTGCATTTTAACACTAAAATGATGATTTCATTCCAACAAAACACTAAAATTGTGTTTTTTAGTGGTCAAGTGTTTTGGCCTATATATTTGAGGTGTGAAATTATCAAACATACTAAAATGATGTTTTCTAGTGGTTGGTTAGAATGAAAAAGGAAGAAATGACACAAGAATGATGTTTTTAGAAAACTGGTTTAGGATCAACTTTTTGAAAGTTAGACCGAAACTACAAATTTGACCAAATGACATGGATCAAGTAATTTACTCAATAATTTATTTAGTATGTTTATTTGCTACTTAAGTTAATCAGGATACTTTAGTTAGAAAACCCATAGCATCTTATATAAAAAATGAAAATGAAAATGTCGCATACATGAGTGTGAGTCATATCACAACTCCAGTCTTCATATGGAAGTCTCTTTCAAAGTATCTATCAAAAGTGCATTGCTCAAGGTTTTCTCCACTATAAAGGTCAACCCCAAAAAGCCACATTTTATTTTCTTTATAGCTGTTCCAACCTACTAAAAGATGTTGGGAAAAGTAAGGTTGATTTTCTGATTAAAGACAACGAACTTAAGCTTTCCATCAAGAAAAAAGTCTTAGGACAATGAGGTAGTATGTAAAAGATAGATCTGAGTTTTTTTTTTTTTTTTTTTTTTTTTTTTGAGTTTTTTGTTCAAGATTTTGTAAACCTTTTTAAGGAGAGTAAATAAAATGTAATGTTTACTTGAAAAAAAGGTAATTTTATATCCTTATATCAACCCTCTTAAAGATATATTTTCATTATGATTAAGTTCAAGAGTTCTCACATAAACATAGAGCAAGTCATGTGTCATGCATTGCTATGCATGCTTTTATATGCATGCTTTTAAAGTTCAAAATACACATTCATGCCTTTTGTTGTTCATTATCATGATCTTTGTCTTTTGAGTTATTTGTGATGTAGAGGTGTGCACAGAGAACGATTAACCGATTTGGACTCGGGACGTTAAAAAGACCCGGTCCAAATCCTATAAAGTAAGATGGGTTACACCGATTGTCCATTTTTTAAACCCAACTGATTATGAGACTGTTTAAAAAGCGCAGTGATATCCGACTGATTATGAGACTTTTGTCTCTTAATGCATTTTTTTTAAAAAATTTAAGATTCATTAAAATATGGGTTAAGAAGTATCATAAACGCTATAACCAGTTACGAAGCGATTATACCGGTGAAAGATTTCCAGGTCCCAACTAAAATATTTTCAAGATTGGGTTGAGTACTGATTAAATGCCCCGATGGGCACGAATAAATTTGTTTAGCTCCGATCATGTTTACTTGATATCCTTTGTCTAAAATGTCTAATACCTTATTATTTTATTGCTAAAACAGTCTTAAAATTAAAACAGTGCATCGATAGAAAATATATGTTGTTCACATTTGTTCAAAAATAAAATATTTCATGAGTTAAGAACGTTATGACTTGTTGCTTCAAAGAGGTTGCGAGAGCCGCATGATATTTGTAAGATATGTTCATCTACTGTGTAATAACAAAATTGATAGTTACCGAAAGGTGATATTTTGAAGTTTTACAATGTCTGTTGGCCAAATATTAATTTGGAGCTAAGTGATTGACGATGGTATATGTCGAAAAAAAATGGAGTAAGCAAGATTAGTGCCTATTTATATATTGGTAAATTAACCGAAATAATTTTTTTTGGTAAATTGGCAAAATAACCAACATGTAGGGGTTATTCTGTCCGTTTTGAAATGAGTTCCACATTCAATGGACATTGGATCCTATTTAATCAATTCTAACATTCACACGAGACACATGACATCTCAAAATTATTGGCCAAGTAAAAAATAGAACACGATCACGACGATATTGAGATTTTACAGATTAGTTCTTGCTTCCTTCATAGGAAGTTGTTATTCGCTCGTGGTTTTGCATACGTACAACATATATGTATGACACATTGATGCTATGTTAGGGCTACCCGTATACCCAATCATAGATATACAATATGGCATCTGTGTGTGATGATTTCCCCTGATAGATGAACACAATGTTGGAAATAATGTTCATAGTAACAATATTTGGTAATATTACTATTAATTGTAAGATCTTTTTAGGTTACACGTAACGAGATATTTTATTAACAAATGACATGAGAATTTATTAGGGTATTGTTTTTTTAATAAATTAATGGTTTAATTAAATAATAAGAAACTGATAGACTTAAAGAGTTTAAGTGTAAAAATTTGAAAGTCAGATTTTTATGATAAACCTACCGAGAGTAGAGGCTACCGACAAGGAACATTTTCCGACGTGGCTACCTTTCAGCTCACCACCATTGAGTGTTGTAAAAATTCAGACTAGGTTTTGATTAATCGTCGATTAGTCCCTAAGTGCTACCCGACCAACTAGAATGCGTCTAGCGATTAATCCATGCATACAAAATGAGCGAAACAGTAGAAAACAATAAAATTTAACACTTTAAAGAAGTTATATCTCACAAGACACTATTTGAGTAATGATTAGTGTTGTATTAATCATATTAACCTATTTTGTTTTGATATTAGTCATATTTAATTTTTTATATATACAACAAATTAACTATTTAGGATCATTGATTAATCCGCGCCTAACCGATTAATCCATTAACCTCAGTCAACCGACTACCTAACGTCAAACATTTTTACAACCTTGTCACTACGCTCCTCTGCCACCACCGGAGTGGTTTTAACGCACTGAGAGAGAGAGAGAGGGAGAGAGAGAGAGAGAGAGAGAGAGAGACGATAACGTCAGGTAGTGTTCACAAGCACCACACACACCCTTATAACCCCACTCCTAATAGCCTAATGACAAAATTGCAAGAATGGTCCCTGTGGTATGTCTAAAAATGCTACTTTGGGCCAAACACGTTTGGACTAGCACTAATAGTCCAAAAGTTATCATTTTATTGCGGTTTGGGTCCAAAACAGTTTAAAATATCTAAAAATGACGAATTTGCCCTTTTCTATTTGTTTTTTGATTTTCTTTTTGTTATTTAATTATTTTATAACTAAAAAAATATAAAAAATAAAAGAAAATATTTCTCTCTGTCTCTTCTCTCTCTCTTCTCTCTCTCTCTCTCTCTCTCTCAAGATAACAACCAACATACCCTCTCTTCCATCATCTTCCTCACCGAGCTCTCCATCAAAAACACATCAGAATCTCTACAAGTTGAAGCCAAAAAAATGAAGCAATCACCGACCCAATTCATCAATTCTTCAAATTACAAACATCTTCTCAAAACCCAGACTCTCACCTCGAAGGAAAATTCACTCTCCAGAAAATCTTCCGCCACCACCACCGTTCGACCACCACAGTCCGTCATCTCCATCTCCACCTAAATCAGATCAGATGAACACACACACACAAAATCAGATCAGATAAACACACACATACACACACTAAATCAGATCAGATCAAATAAACACACACATACACACACTAAATAAGATGAACACACACAAATGAAATCTGATGAAAACACAGAGATTAACACAAACATCCATCAATTTTACAACAGATTTAACACAAACACACACACACACATAGAGATTAAATACACACACAAACTCGAATAAGACCAACGAGAGATTAAACACATACACACACATAAATACCACAACAGATATGAAAAATATTAAACACACACACAAACGCCACAATAGAGAAAGGGTTGCACTAAGGTTTTTGCAAAGGTTGTCATCAGAGAAGAAGGGATAGGAAGTCGTCGTCGGCAAACCCCCATAAAGAGAAAGGGTTTCTCTGCCTTCACCTTCTTCGCCTTCGTTGAGTCACATTTGAGTGTGTGTGTCTGCTCAGAGATCTGAAGAAGAAACGAGAAGCTGCAAACCCTAGCAACTCGAAACCACCACCGCTATGATCTTCAACTCGTCGTTTGGGAGGTACGTAGATCTGAGAAAGGGGGCGACTGGTGGTGGGCACGGTTGACACAATCGATGCAATCGATGCACAGATCTTGAAGGTGGATTTCACAGATGAAGTTGGATTTGGGACAGGAGCATTATGGTGAATTTCCGATTGAGAAGATGCATCTTTTTCTTGAGCTTTTTTGATTGAGGTTCCTCCCGTTAATCTTTTTTCAACCAACGAGAGAGAGAGAGAGAGAAATATTTTATTTTATTTTTTATATTTTTTTAGTTATAAAATAATTAAATAACAAAAAGAAAAGCAAAAAACAAATAGAAAAGGGCAAATCCGTCATTTTTAGATTTTTTAAACTGTTTTAGACCAAAACCGCAACAAAATGATAACTTTTGGACTATTGGTATTAGTCCAAACGTGTTTGGCCCAAAGTAGCATTTTTAGACATACCACAGGGACCATTCTTGCAATTTTGTCTAGCCTAATTATCAAACTTATGGATAATTACTTAGTTACCAAGTAGTTACCCCATAAGAATTCAAAACCATCCCTTATAAATAAAGGAGCCTTAGGAACGGAATTTTCAAAACCGCAATCATTTTTGTAACAATAACATTTCTTCAAAATCTTTAATATTATTATGATCCATTTTGTTTCAAGTTTCAACAATAAAGCTACATATATAACATATTTTCAGAAACTTCTATTGTCATTCGTGGAATAAAACATCCTTATGAGTTTATCAACCAAAACCCACCATTCCTCGCATGTTAAAATATTCAACCGAAAGTGTAATAAATCACGTTGTTCACATAGAATAAAAAAGCAGATTAAACTCAATAAAAAAGATTAAACCCAAACCATCATTAACTAGACCTGACAAAATCTGACACGACACGACAACCCGACACGAAGTTAGCGGGTTAGGGTCAGAGATTTTGACCCGTTAATGTACACGGATTGACACGGCACGACACGATAATTAAACGGGTAGGGTTAGGGTCAAGACTTTCAACTCGAAGATG